CCCACCCTGGGCCTCTCTCCATCCTCTCCACCCACAGCAGACACCAGCCAAGTTCCCCGAGGAGGCAGCCTTATAAGGTGGGGCTGTTGTGAAGCTGGTGTATTCTCATCCTGGGTGCTTGCTGGGGGGGGGGTGAGACAGGATGCGCAGGACTGGGTGATGACTAGGGCCCACCTCTCCAGCCTCAGTGTCCTGACCTGTCGGAGAGGCCAGTGCATCCGGCCAGGCTCCCCAGCTAACAGAGGACCCAAGTTCTCCATGGCAGAGTGTGCCCTAAGGTGCCCAGGGGCTTGTGTTCATGAAAGTGAGAGCAGGCAGGTCATGCTGTCCCCCCAAGGAGGAGGCCCCTGTATATCTAGCACTGCTCTGCTTCCAAGAGACACAGGCTTGGGTACGTGCTACGGCAAGGGAGAACCCAGAGAGCCTCAATTGGCTGTCCACAAGTCCACCCTGAGGCACCACAGAAGAAGGCAGACCCCAGAGGTCATGCCCTGCTCTGCCCAGTGAAAGAGGACACTGTGACCCAGAGGACAGGTCCCCAGAACCAGCAAAAGCACAGAGACCATTAGTGGTCACCTGTGGCAGTGACCCAACGTCCTTTAGGGGAATGATGCGTCTGTCCTAGAGAAGACGTGGAAACGGGCGGCCAGTGGGCCTGCTGAAACCACGCAGGCACTGCTGGGCCGCAGACGAGGCCGGGCTTCATCACGTCCCTGTAGCATGAGTTCACTTCGCCATCATCTTGGCCAGAGGCGGAGTGCTGGGGGCCCAGGGGTCTCCAGTGCAGGGTGAGTTCCTCCCTGAGGGTCCGGCTATGTTAGGGGACAGCACAGTCTGGGGTGGGTCAATGGACTCCAGGGTTTCCTGCGGCCAACAAGCAGGGATTAGAGCGCACCAGTGGTGTGGGGGAGGGATATGTCAGGCCCAAAGGTGGGGGCGGATGGCACAGGGTACAGCCCAGAGGTTCTGAGCATAGGGGTGGGCGAGATCACCTATGTGATTTAGAAAGGTCAAAGGCTCTGCGGACGCCCCCTGTGTTTACAGGGCACCCTGATACTGTAGGGGCAGATCTGCACCTACCCCTGGACTGTAACCTCCCCAAGGATGGGCAGTGTCCCATGCACCCTGTCTCCCCGTGCTGGAGCCTGGTAATGTGTGCGTGCATGCGTGCATGTGCCGGCACAGGTTTGGCCAGGAAAGATCCGGACATTAGGTGGGTGCAGGGGGTGGGGGGGCACCATGCATCGGAGCTGGGCAGGCATTCAGGAAGCAGTCACAGAGCATGGCTGGGGAGGGGGTCAGAGCGGAGGCTGTGGTCAGGAAAGGTGGACTGGGCGACCACAAGGCCGGCGAAGGCTCAGGCGCGGGGCGGGCGCCGTCAGAGCTCTGGCTTGCAGCCCAAGGATGGTAATTGACTGCTAACCGAGAGGTCGGGGTTCAAACCCATTTGGGCTCTGCAGGAGGTAGAAGACCTGGCCACCTGCCCCGCCCCATCCATATGTAAACCCACAGCTACTGATCCCAACTCACCATGGCCCAACGAGACCCAGGAGAACCGGTCCCTGGGGTGCCTGGGACCGCAGAGCCTTCCTCGATGTTCCCCCTCGGAGCGGCTAGTGGGCTCTAGCAGCTGACCTGGTGGTTACCACCCGGGGGCTTCACCGGCACTCCTGCCTGGGCCAGCCCCCCAAGGGAGGAAAGTGTGGTAACCTCCCCAGGGCAACCACGGAGGAAAGGCCACACAAGCACCGGCAGCCTCAGGGGGTGTTTCAGACACTGCAGAAGCAACTGTGACCTGGGACTAGCTGCTGTGCATCAGCACCCCGGGGAGTCAGAGCCTGGAGTGAGGCTGGGGGGCACCAGCAGGGAGCCTTAGGGAGCCGGCCAGGGAGCCACTGGACTGGGCCCAGGAGGCTGTACACACAGCCAGCAACTGGGGGGGAGAAGCAAAAGGGGGGAGCATCTGGGTGGGGAGCTCGTGGCATGGTGGGTGCACACAGCTGCCCCTCCGGCCCTTCCCTCAGGCACCCAGGGGTGGGGAGTGAGCAGCGGAGCACCCAGCAGATGGAGCGCCAGAGCTGCAGGAAGGAGTGGCAGGAAGAGGGACTGAGGGGCTGGGGGCTCTCCATCTGGGTCCAGTGGGCAGCAGAGAAGCAGGTGGAAGCAGGAAGGAGTCAGGGTTTGAGAGGGGTTGTGAGTCGGGGCTGGGACTCCAGAACTGCCCCCAGCAGTCCACCCGGCCCTGCCCCCACCCACGGCTGGGTCTGCCCCATCCTGCACCCACTCACCAGGCTGACCCCAGGGAACAGAATCCTTCCCTAAGGCCTCGAACCCAGGCCCCGTCCCTCACACAGGGCTGACCCAGCCCAGCACAGGCCTCCTCTCTCTAGAGCAGCGGTTCTCCACCTTCCTAAAGCTGCAACTCTTTAATACAGCTCCTCATGTTGTGGTGACCCCCAACCATAACATCATTTACATTGCTACTTCATCACTGTAATTGAATTGGGCTACCCCTGTGAAAGAGTTGTTCGACCCCCAAAGGGGTCACGACCCACAGGTTGAGAACTGCTGCTCTAGGGTCTTCCTCACCCCCCACCTGTCCAAGCTGCACCTCCATTGTCCTCGGTCAGCCAGCCAGGACAGACACAGGCACACACGTGACGTGTGTGTGTATGCAGCCTTCCCATGTGGACATGAGCCCAGCTTGTGATCCAGCCAGCCAGGACAGAGGTGGGCACATGAGACGACACAAATGGACACGTGGCCCCAAGCCCAGCCCCTGCTCTAGGACTGTATGGCAGTGAGTTAGTTAATTGTGCCAGCCTGGCCGATAATCACATGTGGTGCTGGTTGAAAGGCGGAGGGATAAATGGGTGGTGAAGCCTCGCCTTTCTAGTTCTCGGGTCTCTTGTTTTGTGATGGTTGTATCGGGTGCAGCTGCCTTAGCAGTTCCCTGCTTCAGCTTGCAAGATTGACTTCCTCCAAGACATCCCCAAGGAGAAGCCGCATGGATCTATCCCGATGCAGCTCTGGGTGCTGGAGCAGCCGTGTGGAGACCCTTGCCAGTGCTGAGATGCTTACACGTTCACGGACTCGGCTTTCCTCCTGCAGTCGGCATCATTGCCTCTGTTTTGTGAGGTGGAGGACTTTGTGGACTGGTGTTGGGTTAATGGGTTAATGTTGGACTTGTGGGCTTGGGCAGCATTGGGTTGGGATGTTTTCGTGATGCACCTTTTCTTTACATAAAACTCTCTCTTATACGTGAGTTGCCATAGATTTGTTTCTCCTAAGTACCCAGACTAATACAGGCAGCCACATCCCCAACACCCAACCCTGCCCCCCAGCCTCTAGGACTGCAGGCACCCCAGCTGAGGAGCCTGGCCGCCGGAGTGCACATCAGCACATCCACTCTTCCCCACACAGGAACTCCGCTGTTCCCGGGTACCGGTTCCCACATCTCCGGTGGTTCCCTCAGCTTGGAGCACTGTCCCCTATAGCCTCCTCCACCTGGTGACATCCTGCTGCTGGTGGCGCTGCTCCCTAAGACCCTCAGCATGGAGTAGGGTGGGCTTCCAAGGCCGTCAGCTTTACGGAAGAAGGCAGCCTTATCTTTCTGCCAAGGAGTGGCCGGTGGGTTCAAGCCACCAAACTTTTGGTTAGCAGCAGAGCACGGCAGCACCAGGATCCCTTGATGAAATCCTACCCTCTCCCAAAAGCCAGAGATGCCTGCGACACACACCGCATGGGGACCCCATGTGGCCACCCCAGGACGCACACAGCCTGGCCCTGTCTCCCAACCAGTGCCCGGTGCCAAGTGGTGCTGAACTGCATTTGTCAGGGAGGTCCTGGTCCCTCCCTGAGGCTGTGCCTCCCTGAGGATTGGGGGCAGTGCCCTCCTCTGCCCACCCCAGCCCCGGGGCAGGACCACCTCCTCCAATATCAGCTGCCCCCAGAGACGTGGATGGGCCAAGGACTGCGTGCCCAGCCACATCCGGTGCTGGGAGGCGTACATCGGAGGTGAAGCCCAAGACTGGAAGGACATGGCGGGCAGCACCTTCCCCCAACGCCCTGCCATCGTCGTGGGGCGACTTGGGGGGGTCAAGTTCAGACAGGTGGACTCACACACAGGGCAGGGGGACGGGTTTAAAACATCCTTCATCGATAGCTGCCGCCAGGTGGAAACACCAGATGAAAACCAGGAAACAACTTCCTGCCATTGAGTCTCTGTCGGCTCACGGTGAGCCCCAGTGGGTTTCTCAGACGGTAGCTGTTGCCAGAAGCAGAGAGCCCGGCCTTTCTACTGTGGAAGCTGCTGGTGGTTTCGAACTGCCGACCTTGAGGATTGCAGCCCAAGGCATAACCATGACGACACCAGGGCTCCCACCCACAGATGAAGGGCCCACGAAGTATGATGAATAACCCAAACCAAACCCATGGCTGTCCAGTCCATCCATGCCCATTCACAGCACTCCCACAGGACGGAGCAGGGCAGCTCCCCCTGGGCACCCAAGGCCACCAGTCTTTACGGGAGCAGACACCTCATCTTGCTCCCCCTGACCACTGGGTTTGAACCGTTGACCTCACAGGCCACACATCACCAGGGCTCCTTTCCAGAGACCCCTCCCAGCATCCCTGAGAAGGAGCATGCAGAGGCCACAGCCCACAGTCCTCCAAGAAGGGGGAGGAAGTGCCTGACACTGGGCCCTCCATCTCCGCCTCCGCCAGCAACAGTCAGCCGTTTTGCGTTGGTACCTGCCTCCCGTGGGGCTACCTGCTGGTCCTGCCCCCTCACTGATGGCACCTTCTGGGGGTCTCAGACACATAACCCTCCACGAGTCAGCCCCACCTCCAGCCCCCCTGACCACCACCCACATCACGGCCCCTCTGACCGGCGAGGCAGGACGAGCAGCGACCACCCATTGTACTCAGGCATCGAGCCCACATCTCCACGGTGAGCACCTCGTGTCCTGTCCCCCGTCTCCAAAAGAGGCATTACTCACCCTCCAGGCTCCGGGGCGGGGGCTCAGCCACAGGGGGCTGAGGCCTGGGCTCCAGGCGGCTCTGCAGACTGGGTTCCGAATTCTCCAGGGCCTGGGGAGGTGTGGGGGCAGCAGGCGCCTCCACTGGCTTGGACACCTGGAGCTCCACTCTCTTGGGGGCAGCGTCGGTGGTCTCGGGGGCCTTGGAGGCGGGGAGCTCCATCCGCCGGTGGGCCGCCTCTTGGGACTTGAGTAGCGTGATCTCCGTCCTGCGCGGTGCTAGCTCAGGCGTCTTGTGGGCCAGCGCCTCCGCCCGCTTGAGGCCGAAGCGGGCCTGCCCGGGGGTGCTGGCCGTCTCCACCTGCTTGGAGGAGATATCGATGGAGAGCTCCGTGCGCCGGGACACCGGCTCGGCCGCCTTGGGCCCCGGGGGCTCGACCCGTCTCAGGGCAGCTTTGGGGGAGCGCTGGTTGAAGGAGTCTGCGTGGCGGGCCTGCTCAGGGGGCGCCCTGGCCCCCAGCTCCTGGAACTTCTGGGTAGAGCTGGCCACGGAGGCGCGGAGCATGGGCGGCTGCACCCTCCGGGACGGCGTGGAGTTGGGCGCCTCCACCTCCTCCACTTCAAAGGACCTTTTCAGGGCTGCAAGAGAGACAGAGACCCGGTGAAGACACCCGTTTGGGGGAGGTGGCAGGGGCTCCCCCAGCGACTGCCCCCTTGGTCCTCCCTGGTGGGAGGCTTCAGCCGAATCAATAAAATGAGACCCTTCAACACCGTGGGACACAGCCCAACAGACGCTGTCCTGGTGCCGGTCAGGGCGTGAGTGATCCGTAACCCGGACACTGAGTGAACAGAGGCCAGGACAAGTGGGCGGACATCGTTTGAGGCCGCAGACCTACCCCAGCAAATCGATCCTGACTCATCCACCGACCACCACTGAGTCAATTCTGATGCACAGAGACCCCACAGGGCAAAGCAGAACTGCTCCCTGGGGTTCCTGGGGCCATAAATCATCAAGAGAGTAGAAAGCCTGATCTTTCTCCCTTGGGAGGACTGGTGGTCTCGAACTGCTGACCTTGAAGTTAGCGGCCCAACATGTAACACACTATGCCATCAGGGTTCCCAGTGACCCTGCATGAGGCTCTCGACATGAGCAGACAGACTCATCTTTGTTCCTCAGAGCGGTGGGTGCCTCAAACTGCTGGCCTCTCTGTTGGCAATCCAACCCCTAACCCACAGGGCCACCGGGCCCTCCCGTGAGATCGCTGCACCAGGCAGACTTAGAATGTTTACCAGAGGTGACTAGGGGCCAAGGGGCCTTGGTTGTGCAGCGGTTGGAGCACTGGTCTGACCATCAAAGAGCCAGCAGCTTGAGCCAGCTGCTGCCCAGGAGAGCGATGTGGCCGTCTCACTCCTGAGAGGCCTTTGGGTCAACGTCTGTTGTGGTGACAACGTGCTGGGGCTGGTTTGGATTTGGGGGAGAGAAGAACTCAAAAGCCAGACTCACTGCCAGACTTAATCCTAACTCCTCACCACCCTCCAGACCGAACAGCAGCACCAGCCCCCTGTGGGTTTTCAAAGCTGTACATCTATGCAGAAGCAGAGCCTCATCTTTCTCCCATGAAGCGGTTGGCAGGTTTGAACGGTCATCCTTGTGGTCAGGAACCCACCAGGGAGCACAGCAGGTTATCAGGGCTCCCTCGACAGGGAGGAAAGAGTGGGAATTACTGCTTGACTTATCGATGTCTATGAAGGGAAATAGACCTTGCTGGGGCTTATTGTCAGAATTGCATGAAACCTGGAGATCCACGAAGGCAGAAGCGCCCCTCTTCCCACATTCACTCGTCCGTGGACGTGGTGGGTGCGCCCACCGATCAGGTCCCCTTGGGCATCTTTCCGCTGAGTTTCCGGCACCCAGATCTATACTTTATCAAGTGCAGAGCTGAGCACTTCCCTTAGGAGCCACCGTCCATGTGGCAACAGTGAGGTTCCCACAGGTTCACAGTTAAGCTACGAGGGGCCTTCAGAGAGTTTGGGGCAGATCGGACTGAAAAGATGCCCTTTGTCCATGAACTTGGTGACCTTAGAGTACTGGCTGTCACCTTGCTGAGCTCACGCGGTCTAGGTTTCTAAATGTCAAACAGACAGCTTCGTATTCTCTACGTACACACCCACTTGTGTTATCTACAAATAGAGACAGTTTCATTTCCTTTCACCCAAAGGAGGGGTGATTGTTTCGGGGCTCGTAGCTCTGTTAGAGGTGCGGACCTTATCTGGAAAGAGATGGTGGTGGTGATCGACCCATGGGGGCATCATCAAGGCCAGGGATGTACGCAGAAGGTGACTGAAATGCCAACGCACAAAGCAAGGGAGACAAGAGTCAGCTCAGCCCAGTGGCCTCTGGGAGACACCTGCAGTCATGAGAATGGGCCAGCGAGAAGCCGGGACACCGAGGACACCAACCTGCCCTCGCCCCTGGGCCAGCGCCACCACGTGGGGCTCACCACTGTCCCCTCTGCAGCTGCAGCCTCTGCTGTGGGAGTGGCCCGAGGTCTCGTCCTGCCAGGGGCTCTCCTCCGTCTACTCCCTCCTCCTCTCAGGGGACATGTCCCCAGTGGCCACCCCTTCCCCACCGGGGCCTCGAGAGGAGGAAGCAGCTCTGTCGGTAACAAGGGCACAGGTGCCCCTGGCATGCCTCCTGCACCGGGTGCCAACCACACAATCTCTTCACATTCAGATCCCATGGGGAAACTGAGGCACGGAGTGCTGACACAACATGCCCAGCCAATGAGGGGAGAGTAAATGGCTGGGCCAGAAGACGCTCCCGTCTGTCTTAGTCCAAACATGGGGGCTGATCCCACGCTCACAGCCTTTCCTGGTCCGCACCCTGCCCTGGCTAACACTGGCCCAGCCAGCCTGGATCAGGGATGCTGCCCCGCCACCAACCTCCCCCCGCCTGCCAGCCCCATATTTCTGTTCCTGGGGGCCCACCGTCTCCCTGGGCCTGCTCCCCACAGGCAGCGGGCAGTGCTGGGGAGCCTCCCTCCCTCCCTCCTCGTGGTCCCTGCAGCCGCCCAAACCAGAACCAGCTGCTGTGCTGAGACAGTCACACAGGCAGCAGCCACGTGGCTGGCCAGGCCACTCCTCCCCTGCTGAATGTAGCCCCCCCCCATCCCCTTAGCCCTCTCTTCACACACCCCAGGACTGGACCTCAAAGACCCTGGCACCCCCAGGACCCGAGCACCCCTACAGGGAAAAGGGAGGGGCCTCTGAGGCTGGTGTAAGGGGCCCCTCCCCAGTATTCCTCTCCCAAACCCCAGCATAAGGAGACGGGAGGGGGGGGTCATGCACTTAGGGGGATGGGGAGAGGCAGTATCAGGAGCCCCTCCCCTATGTCAGCAGCCTGGACAACTAACCCCGAGGACTGAGCTCCCCGGGGACACCCCTCCCATGCCTGAGCACCCCTCCTTCTTGGGGGACATTCCTGAGGGGCAATGCTTGCCCCCCAAGAGGCAGCCGAAGGATTCGGCAGGTGGGAAGCAGCGCGGGTTCCGAGCCAGCAGGGCACCCTGAGTCGTGGGCTGCCTGGCAGGGGCGTGGGCTCCGCGTGGCAGGACGGCTGAGCTCTCGGAAAGCCTGGGGGTCTGGACCTCCACGGCCACTCCTGACTTGCACGCGCCAGCACACGCCAAGCCAAGCCCTCTGTAAGCACAGTGCCATGGGACAAGGCGGTGTATGGAGGAGGGGCCAGTGGCCAGCCAGCTTGACCGCTGGGAAGCTGGAGTCGCCCCAGAGACACTGTGACAGAACCGAGCACAGGGCCCGCGTCGAGGATCTCAGCTCACCCGCATCCATCCGCAATCAGAGGACTGGCGGCATCGGGGACCTCTGCTGCACAAGCCCTCTCTTGCGTTGAAAAGCCAGGCTGGGACTCTGAGGACAAAGCCTCACCCAGGAATTTCCAATGGCCTCCTGCGCGTGCGAGACTGGGCCCGGGTCCCCATGCCCAGCAATCCCACAAACGGTTCCCACATCCGCTCTTGAATGAAAGGCTGGAGGTCCATCGGGCGGTCCCTCGGGAGAAGGCGTGGCTGTCTACTTCCCCAAGCAGGCCCACGGCGGGCCGGGAGGCTGCCACGCTCTGGCAGAGCCTCCCCCGGCTGCGGTTAGGTGCTTCCCACGTCCTGGTGGTGGCTGTCAGTTCTGACTCCTGGGACCCTGCAAGGCAGAGCTGCACAGCTCTGTAGAACTGCTAAGGCTGTGGATCTTTGCAGGGCAGGCAGCCTCGTCTCTCTCCCTCTGAGTGGCTGGTGGGCTTGAACCACCGACCTTGTGGCTAGCGGCCCAAACCCCCTGACCCACAGTGCCACCTCAGCTCCAGCTGGGGAAAGGAGGAGACAACTTGTGAAGATGCAGGCAGGTCAGTGTCGGAACACGAGGCCGGGCAGCCAACAGGCATCCGTGTGTGGACACAGGAGTCACTAGGTGTGGTGTGAGCTGAACACGTCTCAGCTTTGAGACAGGAGCGCTGACTCCGTGGTCCAATCCCCGCCTGGCACGTGAGAGACCCGGGTTTGATCCCGGGTCCTGTGTGCGCCTCCCACACAGCCACCATCCACCTGTCCGGGAAGCTTGTGTGCTGCTGAACAGGTTCCCGTGGAACTTCCTGACTAAGCAAGACTAGGAAGAAAGGCCTGGCAGCACAGCTCCGGACACCAGCCTCAGCACAACCCTGTGGATCCCAACGGTCTGATCCCACTCTGCCTGGGGTCACCGTGAGGCGGGGTCTGACCTGACTGGCAGCTAACAACAACAGTGTGTACAGCGATTCCAACACCCGGGACCCTGCAGGGCAGAGCTGCGCTGCCCCAGAAGGTTTCCAAGGCTGTCCATCTTTGCAGGGGCAGCCAGCCTCGTTTTTCTCCCTTCGAGTGGCTAGTGGGTTTGAACCACCCACTCTGTAGCTAGCAGCCCAGTGCCTGGCTCACAGTGCCACCTGGGCTCCTCATGAGTGGGACCAAGTAGAGCTACAGCCATTCTCTGAGGGTCTGGACAGAAGAGAAGGTGGGCTACCCACTCTGACTGCAAGGCGGGGCCTGCAGCCCATGGCAGTGCCTGAGGACCCGGGAGCCACTAGTGTGGGCAGACAGGAGCAGAAAGCACCAGAGGGACCGCCGTGAATCCAAGTGCCCCCAGCTCCAAGTTCCGAGCTCATGCTTATCTTTCACAGCCTCCTCTACCCTACCCACCGCACCCCCACCCAGGACTTGCTCCACAAGCCTTCAAAGTGTGCCTGCATGCAGATCCACTTCCGGGAATCTCTCCCACGGAAATCATCAGAAACACAAGATTTATGTACACGGACATTTGCGTCAGCATTGAAACAGCAAACACTGGGCTGCGGGCTCTGCTAAACAGACACACATGCCCAAGGGCTGGGCAACCCCCAAACATCACTCATGCCCAAGAGAAATGCTTGGAATGTAACGGTAAGTAAAAATAGCGCTAAAGACGCCTCACTCCATACACGTCACGCGCACACATGTGCGCCCACACGCATGTTCACACACATGTGTGAGCAGAAATGACTGCCCAGCATGGAGGTGGGTGGTTTTCTTCAGTAGGTTGCCCCTCCTTTTCTC